TTTAAGAGAAACCAAATACCCTCTATTGTTTTATAGGAACTGGAGGAAAACTGAATGGGAGACAATGGTAAATATAAAAGGCTATTAGCCTCAGCTTCTGCCAACCTAGCAGTTTGAAAACATGCAAATGTGAGTAGATCAATAGGTACTGAGAAGGGTGGTATACAAATATAGTATATAAATAAATATCGCTCCGGCGGGAAGGTAACAGCACTTCATGAAGTCATGCAGGCAACATGACTTTGGAGGTGTCTGTGGACAACACCGGCTCTTAGGCTTAGAAATGGAGATGAGCACCAACCCTCAGAGTCAGATACGACTGGACTTAATGTAAGGAGAAAACCTTTACCTAATCTTCTCCAGTTCTTGCAATTTTCACCATGGAGCACAGAAGAGGAACAATTTTTGGAGGATTCAACAACTCTCCAGGCTAAACGTTCTTGATTTACAATCACTTCTGAGAAATGATAGAAGCCTTCGGAAGGATCAATGCACTTGCTGGAAGGAATTCTCTTCCTTACAACACTTATTTACTAGTAGCAAAGTGGACTGTCCAAAAGAGACATGCATCTGCAAACCAGGGCTTAGAAAATAACCTTTTCAAATAAATTTATTCTTTCTGCTTGCATAGTGTTTAAAAAGTAATGTTTTTTTTTTCTTACTCATTCCAGTGTTTTGAAAGCTTTCTCTCTAAGGTGGGAATGAAGTGGTATTCCAGAGGATACAGTCAGCCTTCCAAATTCACTGATTATTCTGTCTCTGGATATTTCCCATCCGCAACTGTAGTAAGTAGCGTATACAAAGCTATGGCTACTATTTAAAGCCCATAAAACATTAGGCTGCAAGACTGCTAAGCTATCACAGTACAGCCTTATCGCAGTAAGACCAAGAATGCATCTACATTGTGGCATCAAATTGCTGCCAATTTGTAAGCTGCCTTGAGTTGCTTTCGGGCTGAGAAAGGCAGGATAGAAATACCGCAAATAAACAAATAAATAAATACATTGTACAATTAATACAGTTTTACACCACTTTACTTGCCATGACTCATGGGAGTTGTAGTTTGGTGAAGCATTGGCATTCTTCGGCAGAGAAAGCTAAAAACATTGTAAAACCACAGTTTCCATTATTTCACAGCATTGAGTTGTGGCAGTTAAATTGGTGTCAAGCTGCATTAATTCTGCTGTGTGGATGCACCCCAATTCTCCCTTTCCTATTGCTTCAAGATGGATTGGCACTATGATATAATTTATATAAATTCTATAGAGGGAAGAATGCTTTGCTAAATTCCCCACTGGATTTTAGCAAAGCATGAATCATTCTAAGCATGTGAGTGTCATTCAAGAAGGGCTCAGGCCAAGCCAGCTCAAGACTTGAATTTCCTGCCCAGTGTGCCAGTTGTGAGGTGTAATCAGATCCTATGTCTTGACAATTGCAATAGCTTTGCGAAGCTTGATTTGCATAGGCTGATGCTCATTCATTGCTCAGTGACTTGCCACTCCCCCAGGAAATACAAAGGGCAAGCCAAATGACATATACAAATTGCAACAGTGCAGAAGTGATACCAATCACTGAATAATCTTTGCCAGCTATGGAGCACTGACTATGTATACTTGTGTTTAAAAAGCGGTGCCCTTCTCTGGAAATCTAGTACTTTTTCCATCCAAGTCAATACGTATTGTGTGCAATAAGGAAGACAGGCTTCTCCAATGAAATCTCCTTGCGATCATCAAGGTATAAAGCCAAAGTTCAGGTATATTTAAAGAACAAGACAAGATATTTTTCTACCAGAGCCAAAGGACAACAGAACAATCCGCTATATCCAGTGTACAGAAACTAACTGACATTGGAGTTAAGTCTTATTCCAATGGGTAGCATGTGTATCTCAATGTCTGCATCCAGATTGCTCACTTCCTTTTACAATTGTGGGTCAAATGGTTCTTTTTACATAACTTTACACTCAGACCTCTGTGTTACACTTGTGATTTTATCTGTTTTGTTGCTTCAGAACTGCTTCATACATGAAATTCCAGTTCATGTAACAGTGAAAAAATAAGAATCCCATACGACAGGAATAAAAATGTTCATATTTTTGGTTTTGGAAATTACTCAGTGATTGACAGTTACTGTGTATGATATGGTCTTAAAGTTTTTATTCACAGTCTAGGAGGGAAGAGAATTAAAACCCTCATATACAACTTGTATCTCATATGCAACTTGGCAATGGTTGTGAAACTGAAACTCAATTTTCAGAGCCTATGTACTGTTTGTATGCTTTGGGCTTTAATTTACTTTTTGTATTTTTTGTTAGTGTTAGCCACTTTGAGTCTCCTTTGGGAGAGAAGAAGCAGGATATAAATGCTACTACTACTACTACTACTACTAGTAATAATAATAATAACAACAATTGCAAAGGCTCTGGCATAAACCAGTATAAGTGATCCCAGTGGTCATCAGCACACTGGGTGGTGTGCCAAAAGATCTCAGCCGGCATTTGAAAACAATAAACATTGACAAAATCACGATCTGTCAACTGCAAAAGGCCACCTTACTTGGATCTGCATGCATCATTTGAAAATACATCACACAGTCCTAGATGCTTGGGAAGTGTTCGACTTGTGATTTTGTGATACGAAATCCATCATATAGATCTCATTTGCTGTGACATACTGTGTTTTTGTGTCAGTAAAATAATAATAATAATAATAATAATAATAATAATAATAACTTACTTTATAGACCACCTTCCCTCCCCAAGGGGACTCAGGGTGGTTTACACACAAAAGGTAAACATTCAATGCCATAATGTTTGCCCTTTTTGTGTGTGTAAACCTCCATTGAGGCAGACAGTCAGAAGGCACTATTCCAAAGGCCAAATTAAGATGTAAACCGGGTTTGAAGGCTAAACAAACAGAGGTCGGTACAGAGTCTGCACTCTTAAATAAATGACATAGAGCATACAGAGAAGTACAGAGCATTTTATCCATTCAAAATACCCATGCCTTCCCCTGATTGGCTGAAAAGCTGACCTAGCTTTGATCTGGGCTCCTGTTGACTGGGGATTCCTCCTGATGTCATTGGCTGAAGGAGTTCCCTCATGGCTGGAAAAAGGAACAGCTGCCCTTGAATAGTTTAAAGCCCAAGTCCATTTAACGTCCTCCCCCATGAGGGGTGGAAAACCAGGAATGTGGTAATGTCAAAATTTAAATACTCCTATGATTGACTTAATGTTCAGTCCAGGTAAACAGAAGGGTAGTCCGGAAAACACAAAAAGGTGATTGGGATTACTTGATGGGATATTGGGCTGGTATCACTAGCAGTATATTAGCTGACCTATATCTCCGATAGTCCCAATTACATCAATGGAAGCCAGGAAGTTTCCCAATAAGAGGATTTATCAACAGAAAAGAGATTTCTCAATGAAAAAGAATTTTGGTTCACAGAAAATACAATATATATCATCAGAGCAATAAGACTTGGGTGCCTTAAGGCTTGCATACATAAGCCAGCTTTAGTCTGTTTCCTTTCCCATATCATAGGCTTAAGCAAGGCAGCTTTGCAGATCTGGATTTTAGTAACATTTTAAAGGTTAATTTCATTTCATATAGTTTATACAATTTCATAAAAGCAGATTTCATAAGGGAAGATATAGCTGGCCGGACTTTCCCAGAATTGAAGAGGAACGCTCTCCCGACATTGTGAAAATGGTTGGAAAATAAATAAAAATACATTCATTTTTAATTCATCTTTGTTGGTTCTAATTATGAGGGGCATCAATTTCTCAATAACAGAATGAGATGACTTTGTAGAAATGAACATTTATGTGTACTTCTCAAGAGAGATTTGTTCTTCACAATTTTGCAGGGGAAAGATTATACACACACATACACACACATACACAGTTTTTCATACTCTCCCAGCACCACGTAGGATTCATGGCACTTAGTAATTATGAACCGATATTGCTTTTAATTGTTTTTACAATGTCTGATTTTATGTTTATTGATGTTAGATATTGATTTTTTCTTGATTCTTATTTTATCCTATTTTGTTGGGCATGTCCCTTTGTAAGCCGCACCTAACTCTGACCCTGACCCTAACCCGAGTCCCTTCGGGGAGATGGCAGCGGGGTATAAAAATAAAGTTGTTATTATATTATTATTCTATACAAAACCAGTTTCTCATGCAGGAAACATATCTTTTTTAGGGGTGGTGGTGGATGTGGGTTGGGGAGAATGTATATGCAAAACAATATCCTGAAAGATATCACAAATTGTGAAGATGGTGGTATTGAGCTATTCTTTTAAGTGTGTGTTTGTATTTAGACTCCTGAGCATGAAAAAAATGTGTGGGAAATGAAAAATGATTAATATTCCTATTTTTATATTAGAAAAGTTCTGTTTCACTAAGAGACCTCTTGTCCTGGAAAAAAATATGGATCCAGGTCAGAGCTATTATGTCTGGTCTGCTGGTATATAGGAAAGTTGGATATTTTGAGAAAGCAGATTGTGATTTTTCAGTTCCAGCGATTAACTGTAAGAATCACTATGCAGTAATTATTTTCACTGAGCATTTTATATCATATAACATGAATCAAAGTTGAAATCAAACACTAGGAAATTCCACCGGAGGCTAAAGATGAATCAGTCAAGAATGTTGTGTTTGTGGTTTCTTTCATACTATCTGTTATCATCAGTTGTTTTATTTGCTATAAGTTGCATGGTTATGAGTTGGAGCAAAGGGAGATTCCTTTCTTTATCCTCTTGAGAACATGTAGGTATGACCTACGTATTAAGTCTGGCCCCATCCATTTCCAGAAAAGACTAAGGGGGAAAAGAGAAATGTCATTCTTTGTTTATTTTTCATTTAATTGTGTATATATTTTTCCTGGTACTGTGCCACCCAGTCATACTAATTCCATTGTTTTGCCTATGTAATGAAATCTGTTTTTTTATAGCATTTGTTGTACTGGTTGTGAAATTCTGGTTTTTCTCATTCAGGCAGTTGCGTATGTGTAAGACTTTGTTATGTCATCTGTTGTCAAGAGGAGAAGAGGCTGGAAATTGACAGGAAATCCAAGGCAAATGAGCATTTGACCTCAATACAAAATTGTATTTTTTCTGGTAAGTATAGACAAATCTGTCATATGCACTTTCTTTCACATTTGAATATCTGCACTAAATATGAAGACTTTTTGGCAAATTTCAGTCAGTATTTTCAAATAAAAACAAACTGAAATAATATTTGCATCCATCTGTGCTGGCCATATTCAAATTCGCACATGAAGAGACCTGTATCTTACTTGCCTTAGTAGTAGAAGATATCAAAAGAAAAATATGGGGCTAAATGGAGCCCCCGGTGGTGCAGTGGGTTAAAGCACTGAGCTGCTGAGCTTGTTGATCGAAAGGTCGCAGGTTCGATTCCGGGGAGCGGCGTGAGCTTCCGCTGTCAGCCCTAGCTTCTGCCAACCTAGCAGTTCGAAAACATGCAAATGTGAGTAGATCAATAGGTACCGCTCCGGCGGGAAGGTAACGGCGCTCCATGCAGTCATGCTGGCCACATGACCTTGGAGGTGTCTACGGACAACGCTGGCTCTTCGGCTTAGAAATGGAGATGAGCACCACACCCCAGAGTCAGACATGACTGGACTTAATGTCAGGGGACTACCTTTACCTTTACCTTTACCTAAATGGTGTTTTAGTCCTTACTATGGTAGACCCATTGGATCATTAGATTTACATGTTGATTGAGCATTCAACACAGTGCTAATTGGGACCAATAGGATTCCAGCTATGGTAACCCTTATTTAGTACAATTAACTTGGTTGAATACTCAGGGAAACCCAGATTTTAAAGAAATAAGCATCAAAAGCCTTGAACTAGGTTGATTAATCTGTCTAGTTTAGTGTATATACTCGTGAATAAGTAAAGTTTAGAGGTCCAAAATTATGGATGCTTATATGACCAGTGAATAAGTCAAGAGTCAGTCCATGGAGAACATGGAACATTAACCACCACTGCCATTTTTTTGTCCAAGTATTTAAAAAAGTACATTATCACGCTACTCAGAGAAGGGCAGTTGGAAAGGATGTAACAAATGTGATAGGATTCTAATGCATATTATCACACACTAATTATTGCTTTGGGATTCTTAGGCAAGTTAGAATAAAAGTATGGACTGACCCTCTGAATGGGTTTTCTAGGGCAGAGAGTGGGACATGGTAGCAGAATAACATGCCATCCTATCCAGACCTCTTCAAATACAGAATTGTCCTACTGATGAGATTTAGTAGGTTTAGGTAGCTATTGATCCACGAGTTGTTTTAGGATGCATTTAGGACCAGTTGCAAACCCAGGGCAGGTTGACCAACCATTTTAATCTCACTAATGATTATCAGGAAATGTCAAGCACACTCTGATTCATAAACTACAGCCAAATTACCTGCATTGTCCCTAAAATCATTGCCAGGGGAAGGCAGCTGTAATTTGGAGCTTTTCATTTCATCCCCATAACACAAATTCAGCCTTCCAAAGACATCGGAGACTGCAATCGGTTGGCAGGCTCCCAAAGTAGCATTTGAATTGATGCGCCATAAACCCTTTCGTTACAGTTCCCCTTCAGGCACAAAGAGCAAAATAAACACTCTCTTGGGATTAATTAAATTGCAGTGGAACTGAATATTTTTAAACCCTAGAAACGCAATCTGGCCCTGGACCCTTATTGTAATAAGCATTTGCTGTGTGTACTTTTCACACACAAAGATTTCTCTGCTCTCTCTCCTCCTGGGTCATGAACGTTTACAGAAGGGATATTTTTGCTGATGAGAGGATGGGCCATATGGAAAGCTCTTTGTTTCAGTTCTACAAAAGCCACATCCCAGTGTTTGGAAAAGTCCTGTTTGGATTTCAGATGTAAGAATTCCTCAGCAGTCTTGGCTACTTCTCCTGTTGTGGGCTGTGGGATTCTGTCAGTTTTAATATATAGCAGATTTTGAACACATGATCTCACCAGAACCATTTCTATACAGTGTCCCCTTGCTACTTCATGGTTCACTTTTAGCGGACTCGCTATTTCGTGGGTTTTTGAAAATATTAATAAAAATTATTAAATATTAAATATTTACGTCCAGTGGTGGCCAGGGAGGCCAGGGACCCTGGAAGTGCAGTGGCCTGAGGCACAGCAGGGAAGGCCTGCCTCCCTGGCCTGCTGCTGCCTGCGTGGCTCTGGAGGCTCCAGAGGCTCCGGGAGGCAGGTAAGGAAGTGCGGGTAAGAAAATAATACATAAAATATATAAAATAATGTATAAATATTAAAATTAATATGGCATCTCTACTTTGTGGAGTTTCACTTGTCATGGGTGGTCCTGGAACGGAACCCCCACCATAAGTGAGGGAACACTGGGGCCTCACTACAAAGAGTCCAAAAATGTAGCCAGCTGTATTGAGTTCCAGTGAACAGAATCAGGACTCTGAGAGAACATTGTTCAAATTCTAGTCATGGAAGTCCACTAGATAATCTTAGGCAGGTCACATTCTCTCAGGGCCTCTTAGGATTTTTCTGTGTTGGCTCATTTCCAACTGATTGAAACCCTAAACTCAGTTTTAAAAAAAAGGACAAGAACTCACCCAGCCTCCCTGGGATGGCTACCGGAGTTCTCCTGGTGCGTACAAATGACACACCAGGAGAAAGGGAGGGCAGGAGCAATTTTCCTCCTTCCCTCTTTCTTCTGGCATGTCATTTGTACATGCCAGGAGAATGCTTGCAGCCGTCCTAGGGAGGCCAGGTGAGTTCTTTTCTTTTTTCAACTCAGTTTCAGGGGGCTTCTGGGGAGGGGGTTGGTATTCCCACAGTTTTCCCACCGGAAGTAGTGGGTTTATCCCGTGCCTTTCAAGAAAGCGTGGAATAAAACAACTATCAAATTAATTCATCACAAACCAGGGTTTTTCCTGGTTTGTGATGAATTAATTTTGGGTTGCACTGGTTTATGGCGAATTAATTCCAGGGTGCACAGAATGCTGTCTGGGCAACCCCCTTTTTATTGTGGAAGTTTCCTCAATAAAGGGGGTGTCTAAATCCGCCCTCAGTTTTCACAGTTTCCTCTGTTTCACCTGCAATCCAGGTGTGCATTTTCTGGGGAATTCATCAATATCAGCTGATGCAATGTTTCTAAACCTGTTGCCTTTTTAGTCTTCAATATTTGGCTTTTTCTTTTTTGCCATAAACACAAAAACATTAAATTGCTTTGTTAGATGTTTAGGAGTCAGGTGGATGAAAGGAAACACTGACAGCAACTAAAAGAGCTTTAACGCTCAGAACAGCAACTCAAGCTGGTAGATAATTGCACAGTAGTAAGACAGCGGTTTGGAATGACCCACAACTGTTTTCATGCCATCCTTTTACACCCCAGTGGGAGGAGCAAGAAGGCAGACATAAGAGAGAGCTCTGAAAGGGGGAAGAGCAAGAGAGTAGTAACGTGACTATTAAAGATAATTATGTAGGGTAAAAACAAATGAAACTACATTATAAAATATATAATTGTGTTCAAATTTCATGAAAAAATGTTGATTAGAATAAGAGATACAGCATTTTGAAAGATCTCTTATGCATATTTTCACTTTAAATTGGAACATCTAAAAATCAAGATCTATGACCCACACATATTATTACAATTTTTGAAAATACATATAAATGCTTTTAATCTGGTACGTAGTTGTTAAAAATATGATAGTTTAGGAGAAATTAAAGTATAAACTTTTAAAGCAAGCACAAATTACCAAAGTTGTTATATTCCTGGAGACATTCTAAATTGTATTTAAATTTAATTTTTTTCTAATGAAGTTTAACCTGGGGAGTCTGATTCTGATGTCAGTTTCAGTGGAGTACAAAGCCTTCACATCAAAAATATTGATTAAACACCCGTGACGTCAAAATTTGGTCACTTTCATTACGTTGGCTATTGCTATTATAGCAATGTAAATTGGCAGAAAGTTAAGTAATTATACGTGAATCAATTATCAAAATTTGGTTGAAATAGTGCTTGCAGTTCTGGATGAACTCTCATTTTTCTTCTCAAAGACATCACATGGGCTTTTGGTTAATCAGTTAAAATTCATGAGTAAACCAGTTTTTTTTAAATGGAAAATTTTTGCCTGGGGTGGGTGGCCGGGCAGTTGCACCCGTAACACACACACTCCTTGGCTATGGGCTTGCCTGGAAGGCAATCATACTCAACCACGAGTGATCACCAATGATGACCCCTGGCAGCAGGATTTTTTCTGTTGAGAATAGTTTCTGGATGTTACATTACCTTATGATAGTATGCTAGATTAAATAACTACCAAAACAATGCTCATTCTGTGTACAGCAGCTCTTTGTTGAACTGTAACCTATCCAAAAGCCCCAGGGTATTTTCAGCCTGTCTTGCAAATTTTTCCTTGTTTTTTGGCTTGGTTCCACTAACTGTTGCAGGAAATCTTCCAGTAGCAATTTACGAAGGCAGACAGGAAGGAAGTGTTTATTTTATGTGGTAAATTTCTCCCATTATATGATATCTTAAGTTTCCACATTTAAAGGCGCACCTGCATTTCTATTCATAAACTGTGATAAAGTTATCTTTGCTTAGATGGGGTACAAGTGCACCAAGTTTGCACGTAGTGACTCCTGTTGAGAATACCAGGTATTGTAAGAGCAACCACTCCATCTATTTTTTCATATAGTGTTTCTTGCATAGACTAGGTTTTGAATAGTTTCATTTGGTATCCTTGCACAGAAGTTTACAACATTATCATTTTGCTTCATTAGATGGACCACAGCCAAATGAGTATATGTTTAACTTGGTAGCTTAAAGGTGCTTTCTCTCCCCCTGCCACTGCTTTTGATACAAAACATGAATTTGCAGCAACCACAAAATTTGGTTCAGACCCTATTTCTGATATTGGCTCACAAAATTCAAAAATTTGGAGGCTTGTGCCTGAATATGGTTCCATTTTACCTGATACAGGCAATCCCCAAGTTACGAACAAGTAGGATTGTTCTTAAATTGAATTTGTATGTAAGTTGGAACATGTACATTTTAAGTATAACTCCAGCCTTTGGATACCCTATGGTGTTTGTGTTGCTGTCTGTGTCTCTGTTCAGAACATTTCACCTCACTTTCTGCCTCACCAGAACTGGATTTTGAAAAAAATTGCTTGTTGTGGAAACAAGGATTGGCAGGAAAGCTTCAATGGAGACACCTTTCCCCATGATAACTCTTTC